CGTACAGTGCTTTGTAAACCCTTATTTCATAACATACTGTTTGATTTTCTAGATTTCTATACTTTGAACTAATACAAATGCGAGAGTAGATCACCGGCAGTGTTGCCAGACTTTTGCGACGTTAATTCGCCAAATTATTTGTGCCAAGTACCCGATACTCGCCCAAACCACAGTAGCCAATGTTCATTGTTTAAAATCCCTAAAAATCAAGGAAAGCAGAGTTCCTATTCCCCACATGTAAAATACTCAAACCCCAAATGATTTGTTTGAAATTGTTCCTATTCTTATATAAAACTCCATTTCTCCCAAAATCCCCCATTAAGTTTGTAATTCCCCAAACATTTACTAAGTAGCCTGAAATCGCCTTTTCCTATTAAAAAAATTGCCTAAATGTCGCCAAACCGCCAATCGCTTTTTTGTCGCCGCTAGACCCTAGCCTAAAAGGCGAAACATCGCCTAATAAGGGGGTCTACTCTCGATCTCCGTCTGACATCCGTCCAAAACAATTATTGCCAAATAAGCAATACTTGACCAAATGAAAAGACGCGTGATGCGAATGAAACTTCATACTTGCCTTTTAATTTTGTCGAATATTACTTATTTGACAGTAATTGTTTCGGACGGAGATCGAGTTTTTTTTTTCAATTATCCGCCATTTTACGCTGCTAACAGATTTACTGCATGTTCGCAGTTAATGTGTAAAGTCGTATCGATTTTCGTAAAGGGCGGTAGGGACCTCGGAAGCTTTTGGGGCTTTGATGCTATCCACGGGATGCTACCGCTTTTGAAAATATTTCTGAATTATCTATATAAACTACTGTATATATTTGTGTATATATTTTTTCCATGTGATTATTCGTGTTAAGTTAATATAAAAAATACGTGTTTGCAATTAACAAAATTTGGGAACGTACGCTAAGATAATAAACTCTAAGTAACGTACAAACTAGATACGAGCCAAAAACAGGTCGCGCGTTTTCCACAGAATTCTCGTCCCGAGACTGCGCGGAAATTCTTAGATACGGCATCGTATCTAGTTTGTACGTTACATAATTGACATTAAGTTCATTATGCTATGTACAATTTCCCTTCCATTCCGTTCCGCAACTATGTAATTTGAGCCATAGTTATCCATCAATATGTTTGCAATCAAGGTATTAAAATTTAGACGAATGAAATGTCATTATTTATGCATAACACGACAAGTAGTTGCTCTATAGGCAGTGTAAGGGTGACATATACGACAGGGTGACTTGCGCGAGTGCGACATAAAGCGCAAAATACTGCCATTCTCGCATAGAGTATTGTCTTGCCATGCTTGCCTTTCGCCAAAACCATGCTTGCCTTTTTGGTGATACAAGCGTGTTCAATAATACTTTTGAGTATAAATTAAACCCAATAACTGCATCACAAAATGCTTTTTTTAATAATAAATATTTCTGCTTAATATTTTTCAGTATTCTATTTAGTGTTGAGTTACTCATACACGTGGCAACGCGTTTGTACCACTCGCTTGGTTAGTTTGTCATAACACCTCAAGTGATCAAAATGTCCCACTTCACACCTCACCTCGTATCACAGCCTCACTTCTGTCACACTGTTTCGAATTCAACAAATGCAACAATGATTGGCCCTGCATTGCCCGCTTTTTAGATGATTTGACATCATAATATGATCATATACCATAGTACTAAATAAAATTAGCATTTCTTTATACTACAGCGTAACACTTAAGTTATCCAATTGATTAATGCCATCTAGTTATGAAAATGTACTTACCCTGTCTGTTGAGTCATTGCCGTAGGTGCAAACATTCTTACAACTACCTCACCTCATTTGAAGTAGGACATTGTACCGCCTCATTTTTTCATGTTCCTACCCAACACTAATTCTATTATACTGTCATATCAAAAAGTATTATTGGACCCGACGTTTTTAATTTTAATTAACCTTGTGATGTGGAGGGCCGCTGACCGTTTCTACTATTTTAGTTAAGTTACTATTTTTATTTTGGTCTACGTCTATATATGCAGAAGGAGCATAATAATAGCTTAAGCTTCACTTCACTTTTTATTTTTATGGCTCCATCAATATGAGAACTGA